AAGCACTAGAGTAACTTTGGCCCTGCCTGGAGAAGGGAAGCTATAGAGAAATGGAGCTGCGGTTAAATGCTCATCTGGCACTTAGTAGCCATGTGACCTTGTGTAGGTGACTCCTCTTTCTCCTCCTCTGGGCCCGGGTTTCCTCCTCCATAAAATGAGGCAGTCATCTTTGCAGCTCTGCACCCACAAAGTGCCATTGTGAGGGTCAAATAAGTGGGTGTAAAAGGGCTTGTGGAGAACCCTGCAAATGGAAGGCAGACCTTTATAAGGGGGAAATAACATTTTATTAAGGAGAAAATAAAATTCCCAATAATGAGCTGCCCAGTATCTTCAAAAGAAGACTAGAGAGTGCTCATGGACAGTGCTCATGCCTGAAATGCTTTTTCTGCTCCTCTACTGGTCAGGCTCCTATACATCCCAGAGGAGGCAGTGCCTTCCCCAGAAAGCCCTGCCATGCTGCAGTCTGTCCTCCCATCCTACCACCTCCAGCACAGTGTGCATGTCTATCTGTCTGTCTATCTGACTTCTCCCCTACTGGTCTGGTGTTCCTTTGGACAGGAACCGTATCTGATGCAACTAGGAATTTCAGCTGTTAGGGCAGAGCCTGGCACATGTGAGGCATGCATCAATATTTTGAGCCAGGCTGACTGCCTAGAGTGGAGCTAATGGTGGAATGTCGGGAGCTGCTGTCTAGGTTGGGGGAACTAAAAACACAGACAAGCCGTATACTCCCTTCCTAGAAACTTATCCGATGACTTTCTCCTTCTAGGTTTGAGATGAGGTGTACCCTTCCCTGCCTTCAGGCTGAGTGAAAGCTCCCACTGGCCCTTCCTGGTCTGCTCAGGACTTTCCTGGTTTTAGCTCAAAAATGTCTCATTTCCCAGGTAAACCAAAGCAATCGGTCATGCTACCTTAGTCACTAATTGATTCTCATGGTATACGTTGTAATTACTCGCTAACTGGATATTAGATGCTCAATAAAGCATTGTTGAGTGAACAAATGGACGAGCCAGTGATTGCACGCATCCGTGTTTTCTAATGAGAAGGCAGAGCTCTGAGAACAGATAGAGGCCCAGCATGCATGAGAAAGTCCCGGTGGCCCAGGCAGTGGCCTGAGAGCTGCCTACCATGGCGGTCACTGTTCTTGGGGAACCACAGATGTTTCTCGTCTAATTCCTCCATGGGGGCCAAGGGGCTATGAGAATGGGAGAGAACACAAAGTCCCTTTATTCAGGGGAGTGGATTCCATCTCGAGACAAATTGTTACCTCCAAGGCCACCAGCCGCTCAGCCGGCCCATCACCATGGCCTCCCTCTCAAGGATGTGGGCACAGGCCTGGCCAGAGCTGAAATTGCCCTGGAAACTAGTCTCCCCTTTAATTAACAGGGAGGACGACCAGGCCTGCTAACGGGGTGGGGTATGGAGTCGGGGTGGGGTCAAGTTCATAAAGTCCCCAAAGAATCAAGGCCTCCTTGTTTATTTTCCCGAAAATGTTCCCCTTTACCCAGAACAGCATGGGGGCCAAGCAGGCCGCAGGCAGGGAAAAAGCTTTAACCTCCTGCCTGCTCAGCTCAGCACATCGCTATTTGACTTGCATTTTAAAAATAATTACAAACTTAATGAAAAAATAACCTAACCCCCAAACAAGCCAGGGACTCATGGTCAGCACTGGCAGGAGCAAGCCCCTGGCAGCAGTGAGGATGAGATGCAAGGGGTACAGAGGAGCCACTGGAAGACAGAGGACACCCTTTATATGAACACTCCCTCTCTCTAGAGCCAGCATTGGCTCCCTATCGCCCTTTGTATCCTGCCTAAATCTCTCAACCTATGTCTTAGTGCCAGTTTTACTCACGCTCTGTGGAAGACACTAGAACCCAAAGGGGAAATGAAGTTGCTCAGGTTGTGCATTGTGTGGGACCTGATGCAGGTAGTGAGGTTGGCTGGGTTGGGTTCTCAGGGAAAAAGCAGAGGAAAGTGAGAATGTGTCTCTGTTACCATCTGAGCCATGGCTGGGTATGGCCAACATGCCAGGCAACCAGCCCTGGGAAGCAGGCACGATGATTATTCATCTTTTCTATCCCAGGACTCCAGCCCAGGTCTACCTGGCTTTTAGCTACCACACTAAGTGCTATAAAGGGAGTTGGGGGTAGAAATGAAGTAACAACAATAGCAGTAAGCAGCTTTCATGGACTGTAGACTATGTGCTGTGCACTGTGCCAACCTCTTATCATCTCTTTTAATCTTCAGTATAATTCTATCTGGTAGGCTGTGTGATTGACCCATTTTACAAACGAGGCACACAGCACTGGTCCAAAGTTCTGCAGCTGGGAAATGGCCTGTACTCTGCTCCCCTAAGAATAATCCTCTACAGTGAGTGGGGTCTGAAATGGCTCTTGTGAGGTCTCAAGAACATGGACTTGGTCTGTCTTATGTTCTCAGAGCACAGAAGAGAGACTGGCACATAATGGTTATTTAATATCTGTGTTGTGAATAAGAATGAACAAATGCGGGCTGGGCGCGGTGGCTCAAGCCTGTAATCCCAGCACTTGGGAGGCTGAGGCTGGTGGATCATGAGGTCAAGAGATCGAGACCATCCTGGTCAACGTGGTGAAACCCCGTCTCTACTAAAAATACAAAAAATTAGCTAGGCATGGTGGCGCGTGCCTGTAATCCCAGCTACTCAGGAGGCTGAGGCAGGAGAATTGCCTGAACCCAGGAGGCGGAGGTTGTGGTGAGCCGAGATCACACCATTGCACTCCAGCCTGGGTAACAAGAGCGAAACTCCGTCTCAAAAAAAAAAGAATGAACAAATGCACCTGGACCTAGAAGTAACTTCCAGAGGATCCATCCCAGTTCTCCCTTCCCCATTCCAGATTATCTTGACTTACCTTGAAGTAAACAAGATATAAAGGGGCTCCAAAAGAACTGAGAAATAGGACTTGGTATGAAGGACAGTAGGGAGCCACAGCCAGGTTCTGGAGGAAGGGAGTTTCAAGCTAGGGGAGTGATGGTCTCCCTGTGTTTTATGGATTCCAGGAGCTAGTCAAGGTCAATGAGCTTTGGCCAGAAGGTCAAGTTATCCCCAGTGGTAAGTGTTGGAGGAAGAGCAGGGCACTTCTCAGCAGCTGAGGGTCCCCAATTTGTCATGCTCATTGGTTTTGTAGCTGGGAATGCCAGGTTCAGGCTGGCCAGCCAGCCTCTTCAGCTTGCCCATGATAAATCCCATGATCCTGGGTCAACGATGCCCAAACGTGGTACGTTCATAGCCAGCTGACAGAATTAGTAGGCCATTGAATCTTTCAACAATGGAGTCTTTGAAATTCACAACTCAGGGGTCTTTGAGGTCCATGTCAGACTCTGAGGCTGTAGTAGAAACTGTTCGTCTTAGAATAATGATAGGTACAAAACATGTATTGAGTGCTTACTACTCTAGACACTGTTTACAAATATCACAACCACCCCAGGAGGTAGCAGCAGTATGACCCCCACTTTACAAATGTGAAGACAGAGACACTGGAAGGTCGTGTAACTTGCCCAGGGTCACCTGGCTGCCCAGCTCTAGAGTGCACGGCACTGCCTCACAGACACAATTGTTGAGACTTACGCTCTCCAACTTGTAGAATCCTTGTAGAAAGTAACAAGGACAGGATCTTCAAGCCAGTCTTAAAATCACTGCACTTTAGAACCTGCCATCGTTGACTCATCAAATTCTGCCGTCGGAAAATCGGGCATGTTATAATCCTGGAATTCCAGATTCTAAGTCAGAGACGTTTGGATCCTGGGATATTAGCCTCGGATTATGGACCCCAGCCCAGTCCTCTCATATAGAACACAGGGAAACTAAGGCCTACAGAAGTGACAACAGAAGCCGAAGAGAGGCAGAGCCCAGAGGATTCAGCGTCATGTTTGGGGGGAGAAATCGGAGGGAAGAAAGAAAGGCCCTGGGCAGGCGGGAATCTGTTTGTGATTAGCAGCGGGTTTTAGTGCTGCCGAGGAATGTGCCCGATGTTACCGTTACCCCCGCAGGTTGCTGCCTCCTTTCTTCCTCCTCAGATGCCCTTCTCAAAGCCCATCCTGGCCAGGCTCAATATCCTGTTTTTACCACCAACAAATTGAATTTTCAGAAGTTGGCCTTCTAACGAAGCCAGCTTAATACGTTGGAGGTTTTCTTTGTCTGCATTGCTATTTCTTGGTGGAATGCCTGCTTTTCAGGAGCCCAGAGAGGTTTTGCACACTCAAATCACAACGCTGGGAGGGATGACGGACAGGAACTATGGGACAGGTGGCTGGGGGCATGGACAGGCCCAGAGGCAGAAACAGACGTGGAGTCTTTCCAAGGAGAGGAGGTGACAGGTCCACAGGGGCCTCCATACTGCTCAGGTCACACACACCTCAGAATTTGGGGGCCTCAGTTTTTCAGAAACATTAACCAAATGGGGTTTGGGGAGAGGTGGGTGGGAACCTCATGCTCTGGGAGGCCTTTAGCCTGGAGTAGATGGAAAGAAGCATGAATTCTAAAGCTCAGCCTCTCAGCTGCTGTCCCATTGAAGGCAGACATGGGTGTAGCCCTGGGGTATTAGGGCTAAGACTTACTGGTGGAAACTCTATGAAGATTTTAGTTCTATCAAAAGCAATGGTTCTCTCAGGCCAGGCATGGTAAATAAAGAGAAGACCAATACTACTGATTTTTCCTTTCACCTTTCAGTGTGAATTTTTCAAAATATTGCATGAAAATATGATCCTAATTACTGATACTTTTGGCACATGAATTTTAAACTTGAGATGAGTGCCTCATTTAACTCACTCTAGTCCTGGCAGTGGATATAATCCACACAAACAGACGCTCTTTGGGGTCCTCAATAATTTTTCTTTTTATATAGAGTCTCACTCTTATCACTCAGGCTGACGTGCAATGTCCGCCTCCCTGGTTCAAGCGATTCTCCTGTTTCAGCCTCTCAAGTAGCTGGGACTATAGGAACCTGCCACCACGCCTGGCTAATTTTCGTGTATATATATATATATATATATATTTTTTTTTTGAGATGGACTTTCGCTCTTGTTACCCAGGCTGGAGTGCAATGGCGCGATCTCGGCTTACCGCAACCTCCGCCTCCTGGGTTCAGGCAAGTCTTCTGCCTCAGCCTCCTGAGTAGCTGGGATTACAGGCACGCGCCACCATGCCCAGCTAATTTTTATTTTTTTATTTTTAGTAGAGACAGGGTTTCACCATGTTGACCAGGATGGTCTCAATCTCTTGATCTAGTGATCCACCGGCCTCGGCCTCCCAACGTGCTGGGATTACAGGCTTGAGCCACTGCGCCCGGCCAATTTTTGTATTTTTAATAGAGACAGTGTTTCACCTTGTTGGCCATGCTGAAACGAAAACATTTGAGAGTCATTGATAAAAGGGATAATGTTCCTTCAGCTCAAACTATCCAACCATGGAAGGAATTCTATTCCAAGGTACTGAGTCTCCATCACAAGGTGTGTACAAATGAAGGGTTTAAAGGATCAGGTGTGGGGAAGGGGCCTAGTGTGCAGATCTCTCAGCTGGGTGCCTCCTGTGGTCCCACCCACTGGCATCCAAGAGATCTTCTCACTTTCCCACTTGAAAGCTTGCAATGGTATCCCACTGTGCTCTGAACAAAAACCCACCTCTTCTCCATGGTTCGCCAGGCCCTGTGTGTCCTGGCCCTGTCTCCCACTCTTTCACCCCTAGTTGCTCTGCTTTCCCCACACTGGCTTCTTTCCGTTTCTTCAGCATGCTACACTTTTTCTTACCTCAGGGATTTTGCACATGCTGTTCCCTCTGCCTGGAACAGCTTCCTCTTCACCCTTCTCATGGCTGTTCCTTGTATCCTCTGAGTTTCAGCTTGACTGTTGCCTCCAGGAAGGCTTCCCTGATCACACCATAGTAAGTAGGATTTCTCTGCCATCATCTCTCAACCTCTCATTTGCTTTCTTCATGGAAGTCATCACCATGTATTTATATTTATTTGTTGGAATGGATGGTTCTCGTCTTTTTTCTCCATGAGACCGTGAGCTCCTCCAGGGCAGGAAGTCTGACTCTTCCATCATGAGGCCTCAGCACCTGGCATGGAGGAGGCCCTTGAGAAGTGTTTGTTAAGCAAGTAAACAAATCCATTATGAATTAGTGAATGAATGAGTAAATGAATGAACGATTAAACAGAAAAGGCCTCTGACTGCTGATGCTCGGGCTCTCGCCAGGAAACCCAAAGTAACACAGGTTGTTGGAAACATCAGTAACCACAGCTGGATGGTGTGTGGTTAAGTTCTAAGTGTTTGCCCACCACCCATCAGCGCTGATCAAATTGGAGGAGAGGGAGATGGGCTGCAGAAATCTTGGATGAGCTGAGGCTTAAACACAAGCCTCCAGACCTTTATGCAGGCAGGGTCCCCAGACTAGTTTCTCTGAAGATTCGCATTGTATTCGCTATTAGGACTCAGCTCAAACAACCCGATCCTACGGCTCTTCCCTGACTCTCCTCAGGTCAGAACAAACCATCCTTGTTCTGGGTGTTCTTGTATTAGGATAACCACCCTTGTCTATCACTGATTTGAGGACATTCGCTTATAGAAATGTCCTGACAGTTTAGCTGTTATCCCAATTTAGAGGTGAGAAGAGTAAAGTCTCAGAAGAACCTACATTCCAGTGGAGGAGACTCTTCAGAGGCAAAATAAGCAAACCCATGTGTTGTGGGTGATAAGCGTTAAGGTGAAGAATGTTGCCGGGGAAGAGGAGTGGGGATCCCCTCTGAGGGATCAAAGAGATGTGGGTGCAAATTCCACCCAACAGTATCAGCTAAAGTCCAGTTAACTGTGATCACTAACATAGTTAGCTGTTGCTCCCAGGATGCCTGTTTCGCGGAGTCAGGGACTATTCACTTTTCTGTCTCCAGCACCTAGAACAATGATCAACACATAGTAGGTGCTCCATGTATGGTGTAACGTGAATAAAGGCCTGTCTGCATCAGGCATTGTATACGAATTATCTTATTTAATCTCCATGGTCAAAGAGGTAAGGGTCATCACCCCCATTTTGTAGAGTTACGGAAACGAGGGCACAGTGAAGTCAAAGAGCTTGGAGTTTGGATGATTAGAAACAGGAACAACATCTCTGGGGACAGTTCTTAAGTTCTAATGGAGCAACTCTTCACAGAGGGGCTCGCAAAGACCTTAATTAAAGTTACCATCAGAACAAAGAGTCTCTGAAGCAGGAATCTGGACCCCATTGGAGCCCTAAATGCAGGGCACCGAGCCTGTGTAAGTGTAACACAAAGGCAAATGAGTCCCCAAGGAAGAAGAGGCTCCGTCCTCAGCTTTCTGCCCTTGTCTGACGGAAGCACATGCCCTAAAGCTGACATTTACTGAGTTTGGATTTGCTGACTCTTTGGTGGTGGAAAACTGGCTCAGACAAAAATGGGATTTGCTGGACTGAAAAGCCCAGGCTGGAACTACAGGTGCAACAGGATCTAAGGCTCAAGTGATATTGCTGGGGTGGGGTTTCTCTCCATTTTTTTGCTCAGCATCCTTCGGGGTCCACTTTATTCCCAGAGTCTACGGAGGTAAGGTGCATAGCGAGAGTCTGTTGGACCAGTGTGGTCACACACCCACCCTGAACCAAAGAGCACAACACCCTCCCTGATTGGCTGAGGCAGGGCGGTATGCCCCCAGATCACACTGACTGAAGAGTAGGAAAATGTTCCCCCTCAGAAGTTGGTAGAATGGGGAATGGATTCTGAAGAAGTAAGCAATGAATGTTTTCCATAAGGGCCTACTATATGGTAAGCAGCTAGTAACTGCTTTGCCAATTTATAGTTGAAGAAACAGCCTCAGAGAGGTGAAGTCACTCTCACAGCCAGGAAGTGGGCAAAGCAAAGCTTGGAACACAGCTCTGTCTCGTACCAGAGCCAAGGCTCTGAGGAGCTTCACAGTCCTGTTTTCCAGGCAACATCTTCACCCATCTCTGTTTTAGTCCAAGGCACATAGCTGGTGTCAGATGGCTCTTGGATAACCCTATGTGAGAAGGGCAGATAGATGGGGGTGTGTGGATGAATGGATGGATGAATGGATGAGCAGGAGGGGTGGATGTATGGGTAGGTAGAAGAATGGATGGATTGCTGGCTGTATGATTTAGGTGGGTGAGTAAATTGGTAGATAGTTAGGTGGAAGAATGGGATGTATGGATAGGTGGGTGGATGCTTGGGTGAATACATGAATAGGCAACTGAAAGGACAGGTGGAAGGTATGTGGGTGGCTAGATGGGAGGGTGAATAGAATAATACTGACAGAAGCATTAACAGTTGTGTCTAGCCTCTTGGCCCTCTCTTCCCAACCGCCTTTTCCAGTGGAAAAATTGAAAATCACGGGCCCGGAGAAGACATTCCCCTGTGGTCTGTTAATAGAGGCCCAGCAAGGCCAGCAGAGGCTGTCAGCTCACCCCCCAGTAGGACCCTGTTATTAGCCACACTCCCCATCCCTGCCCTTAGGTGGAAGTATGATCTGGTGGGCACTGAGGGGCTGGGCCCATACAGGCCCCTTATTAAGCCTTATTAAGCCCACAGAGGGGGAGGAAGAAGGGGAGGAGGCCTTTCTCCCAAAGGTCAGCTGTTGGAAAAAGAAGGTACAGATGTTCTCTGGGGTGGTCGTCTACTCTCAGGCCACAAGGAATGTGAAAGTTTGCCGGGCCCAACCTGCTCTGCTATCTTCTTGCAGGCTGGGAAACTGAGGCCCATACAGGGGAGAGGAGGGACACACACAAGTGAAGACAGAGCCAGATTCAAACCCCATTCGGACTCACAGAAGCCTTCACTGAAACCTGCAGCCTCAGCATCAGCAATGGAGAGGGAAAGCAATGGGCATAAATGGGGCTCCTGCTACATGCCAGGCTCGTGGGCAAAGCATTTTCTGTTCATGGAGCCACTGGTCTCCTCTGTTTCCCCACTAGTAAAATGGAAGTCATGCCTGTCCTTTCATTAATTCAATAAGCATTTGTTAAGCATCTATTACACTGTGGGTCAAGCACTGGTCGAGGTGTTAGGAATATGACATTAACTAGCCAAACAAGGTTTCTGCTCTTAGAGAGCTTACTTTCTAGATGGTGATAGAGACAGACAAATAAGTAGATAAAATGTGATATGGAGAAAATTGAGTAGGGCTATGAGATGTACAAGGATGGAAGGGACGTTCTTTGGATGAGATGGTTGGGGAGGGCCTCTCTGAGAAAGTGACCATGGTCAAGGTCATGAATTGTGCCCCAAATCCATTGTCCCTTTTGCCAGTATATGGGTGAAGCCTGTGGCTTCAAGTGGCTGTCCAGGCAGGGTCAACATTTCCCAGTCCTATTTGCATGCAGGTTTGGCCATGTGACCAGCTCTTGCCAATATAATGGGAGCAGAAGTGATGAGTGCCACTTCCAGACCTAGCTTTTGAGAATTGGGGAACTTCCTCCATGTTCTCGTTACTTTTCCCCTGGCTGAATTCAAATGACAACAAGGCCCCAGGATAGAGGAGCCACAACATTAGAAGATCCTGGGTTCCTGCATCACCACATGGAGGAGAGCCACTCATTGCCCTGGCACATCCATTATGTGAGTGAGAAATAAACTTCAGGTGAGACCCAGAAGACATGTGATGAACTGGGTTAGGGCCTTGCAGGCAGAGGAAATAGCATGTGCAAAAGACTGAAGGCAGAACTGAGCTTGGGATGTTGGAACAGAAAGGATACCAGTGTGGCCAGGATAAATGGCACAAGAGGAGGAAATGAGATGAGACATGCAGGCAGTGGCCTCAGTCAGGAGTCTGTATTTCAGGGGACCCCAGTGGAGGTGGTGCTATTAGTAGGGGAGAAATGCCATCTGGTTCATACTTGGAAAAGATCCCTCTGGCTACTGTGCAGAGATGAGTTGGAAGGAGGACGAATGGACACGGGACCAGAGAGGAGCTGGTGCAGTCATCCTGGCCCGGATGAGGCTGGGGACATAAGAGTGAGTGAGTGGATTTGGATATATTTCCAAGGGCTTACTAATGGGTTGTTTGTGGAAGGTGAAGGAAACCAAATAACCCACACACCATTAAACAAAATCTAATGCAGAAGCCAATATGTATTAGTAAACACTTCAGGAATATCTGTCTAGTTTCTAATCTCTCTTCCCTGAGAACCTCCCACTCATGCCTATCTAATAACTCTACTTATCTGATAACTTGGTCCCTCCCCTGCCATAGCTGATGGAGCTGGAGATGGGTCCCTGATTGGGGCTCAGCCTATGAGATCATTCCAGTGTGAGGCTGGATGGGGAATAGGCTGGGCCCTAGGACTCTCTCCTTGATAAAGATGGTGGGGTAGGTGGAAGGTCAGCAACCTAGAAGCTGAGGAAGAATGAGGGCCCCAAGGACCATCTGCCCACCCTATAGCAGGGGAAACAACTGCAAGTAGAGTCAACTACCCTCAACCACAGCTGGAGCTGCCACCAGCCAAGTGTGGAAAGATTGGTCTTTGCAGAGCCCTGGACTGGCAGGGGAGTGGGTCTCCCAGGGCAGAAGATGGGAGGGGCCAGCTCCGATTCTGTGCTTCAGGTTGGGAGATATGACCCTCTGGGTTCTGTCCATGTGTGAGCCTAGATGAGTTATTCCCCTGGGAAGGAGGGAGGTGCTTCTCTTTCTCCATCTCTCAGGTAGCTGAGTATAACAGAGTATATTTTCCAAAAATGGCCACGACCATATTTCCATTCCCCTCTGCTCCTTTTGAACCCTGACACTCTTCATCAAGAGGGAGAGTTTATTTCTCCTCCCCTGGAACCTGGCAGGACTTCGTGACTGCCTTGATGAATAGAATGCAGCAGAGGTGATATTGTGTGACTTCCAAGGCTGGCTAAGAAAAGACAATACGGCTTCTCCCTGGCTCTTTGTCTTGAGACACTCACCCTGGGAACCCAGCCACCATGGTGTAAGGAAGCCCAGGCCCCACGGAAAAGCCAGAGGTAAATGCTCTGGCTGACGTTTACCCAGCTGGGATTGAGCCAATACTTAGCATCAACTGCCAGACGTGTGAGGGAATTGGTCCAGCCCCTGGCCATCAATTCTTTCAGCTGAGGCCCCAGACACCATGGAGCACAGACAAATCCACCCACTGAGCCCTTCTGGATTCCTGCCCCGCACATATTAAATGCAATGAATGATTGTTTGACACCACTGTGTTCAGGGGTCATGGGTAATGCAGCACTAGGTACTCAGAACGCTGCCTCAGGCAGACTCTGCCTCCATGACACCTTCTGTGCTGAGCATCTGTTCCACTTCCCCACTGTCCTGAAATTTCCAGACACTCCTCTTTGACAAGCCAGGCTTGGCCATGAGCTGGGGCCTCTCAGAGATCTTCCAAAGATCGGCCACGGAACAAACCCTGCTGGGGAATTCACTCCCTGGTTCAAGAACATTTTCTGACTCCCTATTTCCCCCCATATCAAATCTCAGCTCCTCTACTGGGCTTCCCAGGCCTGTCCTAATCTCCTCCATCCTTATGCCTCCCTGAAACGGGCCACAATTCCTCCCTCTGCAGTGTATCAAGAGTAAGAGTAAGAAGGGGGTGCGGATGAGGTGAGGGGAATCGCAGGCTCTAGGAGGACTTTGAGAGCTGGGTCTGAAGCTTCAGAAGGTTGTTTTCACTAATTTAGCAAATATTGAGTCCTAATGTGCACTGGGTTCTGTTTACAGTGCTGGGAATACCTAAACCCATGAGGATCATATTCTCTTCCACCTCAGGGCCTTTGCACCTGCCATTCTCCTCACCTAAGATCTATTTCTGAAGATTTGTGTACGCTTCATCCTTTATCCTTCCAGTCTCACCTTAGAAGGGCCTGCCTGACCCCGCTCTCTAATCACCCCCATTACTAATTCTCTTTACTCTTTTTTTTTTGAGATGGAGTCTCACTATGTTGTCCAGGCTGGAGTACAGTGGTGCAATCTCAGCTCACTGCAACCTCTGCCTCCCAGGTTTGAGCATTCTCCTGTCTCAGCCTCCGGAGTAGCTGGAATTACAGGTACATGCTGCAACCCCCAACTAATTTTTTGTATTTTAGTAGAGACGGGTTTCACCACGTTGCCAAGGCTGGTCTTGAACTCCTGGGCTCAGGCAATCCACCCACCTCAGCCTCCCAAATTGCTAGGATTACAGGTGTGAGCCCTGGTACCCAAGGTTCACCTTGGTCCCCAGCCCTCTTGCTGGTGTGAGTAAGCATCAGGCAGGACCTGGAGAGTAGAACCCACCCAGAGAAGAATCCTTGCTTCTCTGCCTACCCCTGACCCCAGGCCAGAAGTGCTCTTGCCCCTGGACAAACCATGGTGGTTTTCCAAGTCAGTGAGAGGCCCATAATCAGATGTCACCAGATCCTCCTGCCCTGGCTATAGGGGCTGCAGTACCACTAGGGCCAGAGCCATCCCCATGTGTGATTTCAACATCTGTAATACTTTCCCCTCTCCTTGTGGAATTCCCTCTCCAAATTCCTCCCACTTCATTATTAGTATATATAAAAAATAAAAAAATTAAACAGTCTTAATCATTTTCCATATTAGCTGGCAGCCGGCTCCCATATGCCTGGGAGTGAGACCATACTCCCTGTCGCTCCCCGCCCCCTCTGCTGTTTGAAAACAACACTAGCCCCAAACAAGTCTCAGTTACTGAAACCCCTCCATCTTACAACCTCCTTGGGGTCCTGCCTGGCTGATGTGGCCCAAACCAAAAGCAAAAGAAGATTTTCTCACATCCGCAAAAAGTGCAGACCTCAGGCTGGGCTGATCAAGGTGCAAATCCCAGTGTCATCACCTACAAACTGGAGCTCCACGAACTGCTTTGTCCAGTCCAAGAAAGGGCACAAATTCTGGAGCAGATGGATCTGAGTTCAAACCCCAGCTCCGTCACCTTGGGAGAGCCAGTTCACCACTCTGAGCCTGAGTTTCATCATCTGTAAAATGGCAGAAACAAGCGCTTACCTTTCAGTGTCGCAGTGACAAAGCAAGAAGACTTTGATAACAGTGAACATCCGCTGAGCCCCCTGTGTGGCAGGCACTGGACAAAGCCCTCCATCCGCTGAGCCCCCTGTGTGGCAGGCACTGGACAAAGCCCTCCATCCGCTGAGCCCCCTGTGTGGCAGGCACTGGACAAAGCCCTCCATCCGCTGAGCCCCCTGTGTGGCAGGCACTGGACAAAGCCCTCCATCCGCTGAGCCCCCTGTGTGGCAGGCACTGGACAAAGCCCTCCATCCGCTGAGCCCCCTGTGTGGCAGGCACTGGACAAAGCCCTCCATCCGCTGAGCCCCCTGTGTGGCAGGCACTGGACAAAGCCCTCCATCCGCTGAGCCCCCTGTGTGGCAGGCACTGGACAAAGCCCTCCATCCGCTGAGCCCCCTGTGTGGCAGGCACTGGACAAAGCCCTCCCTGCCTCCCCCTCATTTCTGCTGCACAACAACCTGCTTTGCAGACAGAAACAAAGGGACTGAGAGATTAAAATTTTTCTCCAGGACAAAGAACAGGGAGGTGGAGGAGCATCCTGACCCAGCCCCAGCATTTTCAGTTCCATTCCAGAGCTTGACCCCTGAAGATACTCCGCAAGTCCTCACCCCTATCCCCAAGTTTCACCTTGGTCTTTCCTCCTGTCATGGTCTTGAGCATGGGCACCAGGGATTGGCAGCACTGTTGTGTCTGTCCCCACTGCCCAACCCTAGTGCTAGGGCTGTGAGCATCAGGAGGGAGGTAGGAGCCCATGGCCCATGCTTGGCAGAGTCAGGTGGCCCAGCACCTTGCAGCTGCTCCTAAAAGCACAGACACTTGTCTTGAAGAGAGGGATGTTCTGGATTGAACTTGAACTGACTGAGAAGTCCCAAGCCAGAGAAGATAGACTGCTATGCCAGACCTCAAACTTGAAGACTGTTTTTGTTTTTACTTAACTGAACCAAACTGATTTTTTTCTTTCCCCCAAAGAATCAGTCCATAATAGAAGCCCTCATTATATCTCCTAGATTTTCAACCAAAATATCCAAAAAGAATTGGGCTAACATAGCCACACCATCTTGGAATTATATTTGTAGTGACATGTCATAAAGACTTCTAGTATTTGTCACCACTCTTGATCCAAACTCCAGTGGTTCTAGGTTCTCTACATTAAGTATTCTTTCTGAACCATGTGCTTTGCTTATGTCCCTTTTCATGCTTTCTGCAGCCCCTAGAGAGAGATACTATTCATGTTCATCTCGCAGACGAGGAAACGGAGATTCAAAGTGGTTAAATGATCTGGAAGACAAGGTTCTGAGCTTGAACACAGGTCTCAGCTGCAGAGCCACGTTATTGCTAACACAGCCTCTGTATGGTTCTCCAGAAGGCCCCCGATGCACCGAGAAACAACCCTGTCCCACAATCCCAGCTGACCCGATCCATGAACCCTCCTCCCTCCAGCCAGACTGGCCTCTGCCCCGAGAGGCAGCATCATCTCCAGCTGCCTGTACTCTCATCCAGGTTCAGCCATTCGCCAAGCATGAGAGCTTGGACAAGACCTTTACTCCTCAGCCTGTTTCCTCCTGTGTGGAGTAGAAATAAAATCCTCCATCTTCTACGCTGGTCGATGAAGTGAAGTAATCATGTATCTAAAGTGCTAGCACATAGCTGGGTGTGGTGGCTCACACCTGTAATCCCAGCACTTTGGGAGGCTAAGGCAGGTGTATCACTTGAGCCTAGGAGTTCAAGACCAGCCTGGCCAACGTGGCAAAAACCCATCTCTACTAAAAATACAAAATCAACTGGGCTTGGTGGTGCATACCTGTGGCTACTCAGGAGGCTGAGGCACAAGAATTGCTTCAACCCAGTTGGCAGAGCTTGCAGTGAGCTGAGATGGCACCACTGCATTCCAGCCTGGGTGACAGAGCAAGACTCTGTCTCAAAAACCAAAAACAACAACAAAAAAGTGCTAGCACAGAGGGATTAGAATTCTTATTTTACTTCTAAACTCTCCAGCCTCGAACCAGTGTAAGTGAGGTGCCTACAACAGGCGCTCAAGAATTACTGATGATAAAAGCAAGCCTGGAACAATAAAGATAAGAGACTGGGCAGAGATATTACAAAACGTTGGAAGTAGATCCCTCGGGGGTAGAATTGTGGGTCATTTTTATTGTCTTCTTTGTGATTTTTCATTTCTGTTTTGCAAACTCTCAGCTTGGAAGTATGCTATACTGTTTCCTAATTGCCTGACACTGTGAACTATAAAATGCACTGTCAACCTAATAGCAGTTTTTGAGAGGAAAGAACAAAACTGCTTCATTAGATTGTAAGACTCGTTCTGATTTTGGGAAAATTAAACTCTAAAGGGTTGGAGGAGTGGAGAGGTGTCTTAGAATCAAGGAAATACATTTGCAATCAAGTAATCAAAATGGTGGTCTTGGAGGGAGGAGGCTATTATTATTATTATTATTATTATTTTGAGATAAGTCTTGCTCTGTCACCCAGGCTGGAGTGCAGTGGCGCCATCTCAGCTCACTGCAACTTCCTGCCTCCTGGATTCAAGCAATTCTCCTGCTTCAGCCTCCCAAGCAGCTGGGACTACAGGTGCACACCGCCACACCTGGCTGATTTTTTGTATTTTAGTAGAGACAAGAGTTTCACCTTGTTGCCCAGGCCTGTCTCGAACTCCTGAGCTCAAGCAATCCTCCCGCCTCAGCCTCCCAGTGCTAGGATTACAGGCATGAACCACCATGCCCAGTCATAAAATTATTTTTAAAGGGAGGAAGAGGAGACAGGCAATTTTCATTGCTTCCAGAACCCTGGAACACCAGCTTAGCCTTGCCGGCGCATCCGGCTCACCTGGAGTATTTGAAAATAAATAAGGATGCCCAGGCCCTGTCCCAGTCTGAATGACCCAGCATCTCTGGGATGGGGCCTGGGAGTCTGTGTTTTAAGTGGACAGAGCAGATCCATAGTAAACAAATCTCATCCACTTTCTGTCTTGGCCTACAGATGTGAAATCAGAAGTCCACCCAGGGGAGGGTATTTAGCACTCTCCTGCCTGAATGGTGAGAGCAACCAATCTCTTCCTTCACCCCAGGGGCCTTTCTCAGCCCCTGTCAGTGTCTTACCTCTCCCAGTCCTAGCCCCCTCCCCAGCCTTGCTCTGCCAGCCTGGAGCTCTTTCTTCCTTTTCTCCCTAAGGGAGTGTCCCCTGTTCTTAATTAGGGAGACTCTGGATATTTTTGTCTCTTCGAATACTGAATTCTGTTGCCAGCAAATAACTTTAAATAGAAAAAATATGCCCAAAATTAAACTAGAAAACAGAAAATAAATAGGAAGGGATTGGGCTGAGTGTCAGCCTGCTCTCAGTTGAGAGGGTGGACTCTGAGTCTTCTTTCCTGCATCTCTACAATGGAGACCATCACAGCACCCACCTTCTGGGTGGGTGCTCTAAGTGTCCATTAAAATCCACAGTTACTGGGCATACTCACTGCTTGGATTTTGAGATAATTGCATAGAGAAAATGTCAAGGGACTCAAAGTCCCTCAGTTGACATTTCCCTACCAAGAGCTAGTTTATAACATGAGGCCAGATGTCATTTTCTTAATGGGTATGATTTTAAGAGCATCTCTCCACCTTCTTCCTTACCCCAATCCAACTGTTCGCAGCTGAAAGAGTCACCTTCCAAAAGCCTAACTCAGATCATATGATTCTTTGCCTCTGAAATTTTCCAGAGTTCTCCATTGTCTACGAAATGCCAGCCTCAGAGCCCTTCAGGATATGGGCCATGTAGGGTCTCAAATTTCAAATTCCATCTTCCTCTACCTTCCTCCCATCACCCTCCAGCCACACTGACCTGCCTCTTGGTCCCCAAATGGATGTCTACTTCCTCTTTCCCTAATTGGAAGCCAGGTGCAGAGAATTAAGTTAATCACATGCCTTAGCTCCAGTTACATTTTTGTCACCAGAATGAGACCCCTCCCTTATTTTATGTGTCCCTTTCATGCCTCATCCCCACTCTCATACCTCCCTCATGTGGACACCCCCCTAATGTGTTTGGCATGTGTCTTTAAACATGCACCCTCAGAAAACGTAGTGTTGTCTGTGTGGATCATTTTAATTTACATAAATGTTATTCACATCATGGCTTCTTACCTTTTTTCCTTGACGCTGTCTTGAGATCTAGCCTGCATATATGTGGAGTCATCACTTCCAACTGCGGAGGCGTCAGCCACAGTGGGCATCCTCTGTGCTTCCCTGCCCATCGTCCTGGTGTTGGTGGCCTACGCTACCTCTGACTCCCACAACAAACCTCTGCCTGCTTGTTATGGAAGAGAACACAATGGCAGCTCCTGCTTATTGCTTAACGAGCTGTTGTTTAGTGACAAGTGGCAGATGCCTTACTCAAGTGGATTTAGACACAGAGACAAAGAAAGTGTAGATGCAGGTGTTCACTAGCTCCTTAGGCAGCTGTCTCTCTCCATCTCAGCAACTCCAAGATCCCAGCCTCCCATCTTGGCAACTGCAGGGGAAAAGAAGTTCCCAAAGCAGTCCCAGGTGACGTTCTAGACCATAGCCTTTGTGCTGTTTCTTTAATGGTGGGACCTGGTTTTGTCCTGGCTTCAGCCTTCCCAGATCCATGTGTTTCAGAGGAAGTGAACTCCAGTCTCAGGGGTGTTGTGGACTGAATTCGGAATTGTGTTGAAGCCCTAAACCCCAATGTGGCTGTATTAGAAGACACGGTCTGAAGGGAGGTAGAGTTCAAGGAGGTCATGAGGGTGCTATCCAATAGGACCGGTGTCCTTGTAAGAGGAAGAGACATCAGAGCACTCTCCTCACACGGACACACAGAGAGGCCACATGAGGACACAGTGAGAAGGTGGCCATCTACAGGCCTGAAAGGCCTCACTAGAAATCGAGCCTGAGGACACCTTGATCTTGCACTTCCAGCCTCCATAACTATACGGAAATAA